GGTTTTGAAAAAAAAATGACGGGATCTTTTGTCGTCATATTGAACGCCAATGACTGCAGAAGGTTTCCTATACGTTTACATTTCGACCAATCAGCATACAGTATTTATGATGTCATAATTTTTAAAGAAAACTGTGAAAAGTACTGTGAATGTCTGTTCTGCGCCATTACAAAAAGTCTCGTTGAAATGTTCATTTCTTTACGGAAATGATGTCAGAGCAGAAGCTTTGAAAAATCCATTGAAAGCAAATGACGTATTGCGAAAAAATGAATTGCACGAAATGTGCTAGGACCAATGTCAACGTCAAAATCTGTCAATATGTATAATGTTAAATGCAAAATATCACCGTAGCGCCGAAACAATTCGGAGTAAATTCTCTCTACTATAAGCCAAATGCCGTGTGCAATGCGTGCAATGGACCCTTGAACACTGCCTTGAACAGGCCCAACATGAACAGTCCATTCCATACTCCTTGTCCATTCCCACGATTCAGTGAAAAACGGTGAAAAGTATAGAGGTGTCGGACGATTTTCACTCAGTTTCGATTTGATTCGATTGAGTTATTTATAAGATCTTTGTTTCATCATATTTTGTGCTAAGTAACTGGTGAGTTGTCCTTTTTATGTTAGGTAACGTAGAAGGCGTACAGTACAGGGGAACTTCAAGTTCCCCTAACTTGGCTGGGCTAGACCTTATAGGCCAATCGTCCTCTCTAAATTCCATTTTGTTTTTTATAGCAATAGGATAGTTTCAGTCATCACAGTATGGTATTTCGCTCCTCACAGTATGACACGACTCACAGGTTTCTCATGGGAGATTCAGCCACCAGGATTACATTCCTGGGTAATGCACCTGGCATAGCTCGTTCAGTAGAGCGTTGGACTCTGCGTGGTGATAGCACGAGTTCTCAGTTATAACAGTCTAGATTTGAAGCATGACGGGCGCTTGATGTTTATGAGCTTCCTGCCAGGTATGGTTGCGGTTGGTGGCAGGCCATACCTAGCCAGGCAAAGTTGATGAGGGGACTGCCCGTTTACAGCTGTGAGCACATTTAACTTTGGACTCCAAATTCTGCCATAGAATTGGAATTGCCTGATTGGAGGGTAGAGGGCAGGGTCAACGCAACAAGCTTTTCTTAGCGGGGGCTCTGTCCTTGTGAATCCTTCCATTCAGAAGGTTCAGAATAAATTTATTTTTAAAAAATGTCACTACTTGGCTGCTTGGAACAGCATTGGCATGAGAGGTTCCAGTGGATGATTCCACTTGGTCCACTGGAAATGATGCTTAATCCAAAACCAACCACTCTACTCCTCACAGGTATGGTCTGCAGTGCACTCTGCTGTTGGTAATAACAGCCATGATTAGTTGATTGAAGGGACAGCACCTGGCTTTCATGAGCACACTTAAGTTTTTTAATCCAAATTCCAAAGTTAACAGATTAGGTACCAGAAATTGCTGTAATGGTTGGGGATTGCACTTTGCAGGGAATGTGGGGGATTAGGGAAGGCAACTCACCTGTTCAACTCACCTGTTGGGTTTCCTTGACTCACCAGTGCATGAGGAGAGGCAGGAAACCGTTTAGGAAAGAGACGCGCCAATTCCCCTGGTTACGCTGGGCGCTGAGAGATGGACCGCAGGGGATTGGGGTAGTGCGTCTGCTTGGAGTTGGGGGAGGAAAAATTCTAGATGTGATTAGCTGTGGGGTATCAGTTCAGTACCGGCTGTCACGGTACTGTTTGATTTGCTCCTTCGCGGAATCTGGAGTGCGCGGCGATGATCAGTAGAACCTTGCAGGAGAGATCAGACGATGTAGTCGAACAAACGATCACCAAGAACCTTCAGGAGTGATGACTTGAACTCGGCGAGGGAAGTAGAGGTGACCGTCGAGTCGGGCAAGGCGTTCCACTCGTTCACGACGCGTTCCGAGAAGAAACGTGATCTCGTGTCCAGTTGGCAGCGCCGGACTGTGATTTTGAGTTGATGACCTCGGGTGCGGCGTTCGGAGGACAATTCCCAGAGATCTGACGGCCTGATGGGACCGGGGCTGTGGAAGATTTTCCAGCATTTGATGAGGTCGGATCGGATCAGTCTGCCCTTCACAGAGAAGAGGTTTAACTGTCTCAGGCGGTCACCGTACTCCATGTTTTGCAGGCCTTTGATGTGACGAGTCCATAGTCGTTGGACCGCCTCGAGTCTTCTGAGGTCATCGATATATCCTGTGTTCCATACAACAGAGGCGTATTCCAGAACTGGACGGATGTGGGTGCGGAGGATGTGCAGCATGAAGTCTGCATCCCTACACAAGGTTGCTTTCAAAAAGCTGCGTGCCACTCCTCCAGCCTTCCTGGCAGCAGCTCTAGCCTGCTCATGGAACCTTAGACTGTCATCGATGATCACGCCAAGGTCGCAGTGCGATTCGGTCCAGGGAAGGGCAGAGTTATTCAGATAGTAACTCGGTCTTGGTGATTTATGGAATTTCCGTTGGAACCTCATGAGGACGCACTTCTTCGAGTTCAGCGAAAGGCCCCACGATGATGCTGTGGCTTGGAGACGATCGATGTCCGACTGAAGACTTTTGGCGTCGAGCTCGGACTTGTTCCCACACATGTATATCTTCAGGTCGTCTGCGAAGATTTTGTAGCGGCTGTGCAAACCGATGGCTATGTGGTTGACGTAGATTAAAAAAGGATCGGACCTAGAATCGATCCTTGGGGTACTCCGCTCCGTACTTCCTTTGATGAGCTCAGAGTGCTTTTGACCACTACTTGCATCCTTCGATGAGATAGGAAGTCCTGGAGCCAGGCAAGGAGTTGTCCGCCGAGACCAATACATCGGAGTTTCTCGAGGAGGACTGAGTGGCACACCGTGTCGAAGGCCTTGGAGAAGTCGAAAAGAATAAGATCGACGAGGCATCCGTTGTCCCAGTTGCGCGAGACGAAGTCGTACGTCAGTAGAAGCTGGTCTTCAGTAGAGCGGCCCGACCTGAAACCGAATTGATGGTCGACAAGAAGGTTGTTCTCGGCGAGGAACTCGTTCAGTTCACGCACAATAATGCGTTCCAGGCATTTCGATGGAACAGATAGAAGACTAACTGGCCGGTAGTTTAGAGGGTCTGATCGCGAACCTTTCTTGAAGATCGGTACTACGTGGGAGTTCTTCCAACGGCGAGGCAGTGTTCCCTCTTCTAGCGACAGTTTGTAGATATGAAACAGTGGTTGCGATAAAACCGAGGCACATTCCTTCAACAGACGTGGATGGATACCGTCGGGGCCCATCGAAGAGTTAGCATCGAGGTGAGCAAGGATGCCCTCAACATCTTCGCGGGTAAATGTAACGTTATTCAGCGATGCCTGGCAGCTCTGGTGAGGAAAGGGAGTGAGCTGTGGGGCTTCGCCATAGACGCTGGCAAAAGCCTCCGCGAAGGCATCGGCCATGGCTTTGGGATGGTCAGTGACGGAGCCCGATGACAGAGTTAAAGGTCCTACAGAAGAGCGGAACTGTTTCTTCTTACGTAGGTACGAGTGAAGGAGCTTCGGGCTGTCCCTCATCTTCTTTAACAGTGATCGCTCGTAGTCGATTTGCGAGTTTGTTGCGAAACTTCGTAACCGTTTGTTACACTGTAGAAACGATGCTAGCAGTGTCTTTGCCTCAGGGGAGTTCCTGCCGAAGGACGTTCTCGCCTGCTTGTAGGCTGACCATGTGGAGAACCTTAGGTGTTTCAGAGAAGTCGGTGGGTTTTTCTTCCAAGGAACCTTGTTGGGCTTGTTATGTGTAGATCTTGGGATGAATTGGGATATTAGCACTTCCAATATGTCCTGGAGACGCTCGAAGGCGTCATGCGCAGATAAATACTGAAGCTCAAGGTCCCAGTCAATTGATGCCATGTGACGGTTGATCATGTGATATTTCCCGTGGTGCCACAGTAGACGGTGCGAGTTCTCTGGAGGCACCTGGATGTCTTTGTCAAAAACATAGCTGCAGTGGATGCTGCAGTGATCGCATCCCGGAGGAGGGGCATCCGGCATTGACCGTAACGTCCCCAACTCTGTCGTCCTCAGATGTGAGTATGAGGTCGAGGATGCTGCCTGATCGTGGGAAAGTCGGTTCTGTGATCCATTGGTTCAGCCCCAAGTGATCAAACAGGTCCAAGAATCTTGTATCCGGCGGTGTTGCTGCTCTGAGGATGTTGTCTGGAGAAGTCCAATCGAGAGAAGGCAAGTTGAAGTCGCCCAGAATTATTGTCTCCTTGCCAATGCAGGTCTCTAAAAGGAACGAGACAAGAGCCTCATTTTCCGCGACGGAATGCGAAGGTGGCCTGTATACGACGAAGATGTAGATGCCGAGAACTGATAGATGAAATGATAATACATTACTGAAGGATACATCCACCTTGTCGAACTGCAGATGATCGGCTATGTATGCGGCAACCCCGTGAATTCCTGCTCTACCACTATCGTTCCTTACAAGCGTGTATCCCGGAATCTGTACTGCTGCGTCGTGAATATGTTCTTGGAGATGTGTTTCTGAGACCAGAAAGATGTCTGTAAAACCTTTCAGATGTAACGTGTCCTGCAGCACTGGAATTTTGTTGCAGATGCCGTTGACGTTGCAATGAGCAATATGGAGAGCGAATGTGCGTGGAGTTTTGTCTTGACGTGTTAGTTTCCCGACCCGCCTTGGGTAGGGAAGGGGTTTAAAGTTTCAGCTTCGTTGTGGTGGTCGCCAACGTCATCACCATTGGAAGCAACAGGCAAGACTGCTTCGCGGTTGGGGGAGCTGACGGGTGCACTGTTGGTGGTTACTGGTTGACCATCATTATCCTTCGGGTCGTCGGGCTTTGGTGTTCCGGGAGGGGCAGCGGGTGGGGGCCGTTGAGTCAGGGAGCCGGGTTCAAGAGGCGCAGCAGGCTCGGAGGCGGGCTCTCGACGTTCCCACACCCTGGTTCGAGTGCGGGCCTCAGTTCCAACTGGGGGCCGTGTCGTTGATCTCACTTCAGTTTG